TGTGTGTGTGTGTGTGTGTGTGTGTGTATTGTTGTTTAGCTGACAGGCAGAGTTAACGCTCGCCATCCCGTCGCCATTACCATGTTTACGTTCACATTAACATTTCATTCGTTTCTCTGGCAGGGGTTTCGTGGCCTCTAATCGTCTGAACTATCTCACAATCTAAACTCTAAACCACAGAAGCTGTAAAGTCAACCACACAAAGACCGATCTCTGTGAGCAGCTCGCCACATATTTTATATGACTTAAGCGTCACAAAGCCGTCGTTGACCATATGCATAAAGCTGCTTCACTAGTCGGCCCGCAAGACGTTTCCTGATCACACTTCTAATGCTGTAAACTTACTCTGATCCTATGTGAGCTGTCTTATTGTAATTAAGCCCTAATTTAAAGTGATCAGATGCTGGATCCCAAGAATGTCACTCAGTAGAACACGTACCTCCACCAAGGCCCCACTGTCCACTTAATGTCAAACAGTGCAGATCATGAAATCATTTAATGTCTATTGTGGAAGAATGATGCTTTGATAGAAAGGCAAACCAAATCAAATCCTAGATATCAGTCCCCTAAATATATAATATGCAAGATTTTTTCCATTAATTATTTATTGGGAACTTGGGGATGAAAAATTTCTGGATCCATGTGTTTGTCCAGATCCTCTCCAAAATGTTATTTGTCTTAAGTCTTCTGAAAACCCATTCTGCAGATTTTGCGTAAATCCACCTAACAATGTAACTGACCAATGGATAGGCTGCATCTCCGTCCGCAGGATTTCATTCCTGATAAAGTTCAGCGAGCGTTAGGGCTTTGCGAGACGTTTGTTTGGACATGTTGTCCCTCCAGTGACTCAGCAGAGAGTTGGGTTCCTTTAGTCTGTTCCTGGCTTTACGTCAGTGAGAACTCATTTGCATCTTTATTGCGAAAGAAGAATGAGAAGGAAAAAAAAGCTCTGTGCAAACTTTGAAGGCCACTTTGAGTATTTTGTCCATCGCTGATGTGGTGAAAGAGCTTTTCAGACCCAAAAGGAGACTATTAGAAAACCATGAGGGTGCAACTAGATTCAGTCTGAATCTGTGGTTTCTACAACCCTTTTATAACGAGATCAAATACTGTAATCAGGTTAGATTCTCTGTGGAATCCTGGATCCATTGATGTGAGGGTAATAAATCTTTTAGGAAATCTTTTATCTTTATATTTTTTTGGGCATCAATTGGTCCACGACTTTGATCCAAACTAAAATATCTCAAGAATAATAGGATGGATTGGCAGACAGGATTTTATTTTGAATAAGAAACATTCTCCCACTTAAAGAAATAATTCAGTTGAGATTTGAAAGGTTTTGGATTAGATAAACTGTGATTCTGTACTTTTAATAAACTGAAACCAGCGAGTTCAAGAGTGAAGCAGAACTGAAGATGAGTTTAAAAAGACTTTCAGGTCAATAAAAACCAGCGTGTACCTCTAATTTTCAGCAGGAAACTTTTAAAATGCCAAGAATTCTAAACAGTTTGGTGGTTTTGTGACAGCGGCAGCTGTTCTGGTTCAGGAAGCTGGGGATCATGGGTAATTTATTCAGTTATGCTTCAAAACACTTTATTGTCAGGACATGGAGAAGACAGAATTAGTCACCACGTGTGGTTGCAGAGGGCGCTGCCGCTCAGCAGTGTTGCTTTAAATGTGTCCTTAGAATAAATGAACATTTTAATTAATGCATATTCACGAGGTGAAAGTCGCTGGAGACAGTTTCTCGATCAGAGAGTTTTTTTTTCTGTGGCAGGAGAAAAGTGTTCAGTGCTGGAGACGTTTGTGTCAGGCAGCAGCTCAACACCACACTGCTATTGTGTATTCAATGACAGAATCCCAGCGTTGTGTCCGTCACTGTGCACGGTGGACATGCGTGAAAGGACTGATGTACTTTAAAACTGCCAGTTCCACGTCTGTGTGCACGTCTTGATAAGTGCAGTTGTTTGAGGTGTAACTTTAAAGGCTTTCAGGAGCATTTTAAGGGAGTGCGGAGCAGTGGAGCAGTGATGACGACTTCTGTGCTCCTGCTGTGCTGGAATCTTAGCGTGATGTTTTAGTCTCGTCAAGTCAGATGTGAAACTCAGTGATCTGTGTCTATGATTCATCGCAGGGTGACATGTCAAAACAGTCAAAACACCTCCGGCTGCAGCTGCAACGTTCACTTCTGTGATTCAAAAACATCGTTGTGGGTCACCGTCTCTAACGGTAGCTCTGTGTAAAGAGGCTCCGAGAGTTTGTAGCTGCACCATGAATGTTAATAACCTGAAACTTTACAAGAAGTCACAGCTTCTTCCACGCTTTGTCTTTAGGCCAAGCTCATTTCTTCTCCAGCGTGAATATGAACTTGTGATATGTGCTTTTGTTCAAGCCGTGGTGGTCATTTGAAAAGACACCACCATAATAATAATTTAGTTCCATGGTACGTCACAATATGATAATTTGCATTTTAATATTGCTGAGTCCTGTTCACTGGAAGCTATAATCTCAACAACTCAACTCAAATCTACAGTTTAATGTAATATTCAAATTATTTGAGATTTGCATCTGAAAAACACCCACTGCACATTAACTTTGCACACATCTGATTTATGCAGATTAGCACCTCACTGCTGTGGTATCAAGAGCTAATAAGTTAACAGATGGTTTGAGTTGTGAACGGATGAATCGTCGGGTAGTCAGCCGTGCTTCTTGGTAACACTACCGGTGTCCTGGCAATTTGTTAAGTTTGCTGTGGCCGACTCTTGCAGGGACATTTAGTTCTGAGCTACCAGAGTAGAGCCGGAAACTGAAAACACACACACACACACACGCAGGTGGAAATGGTGCCTTTCTTCTAAAGTCCCTAAAAGGAAGAAAAGAGAGTGAAAAGAAAGTGTGTGTGTGTGTGTGTGTGTGTGTGTGTGTGAGTGAGTGAGAGAGAGAGAGAGAGAGAGAGAGAGAGAGATCTAAAGCCAGACTTTTAGTCAAAGCCAACTTTCTACACCTCCTTCTCTCAAAACCACACATGGACATACACAGACAAGCTGTGTCTGCCCCAGACTCCAATTCTAAAATGTTACAAACCAATAAAAGTAAAAGTATAAAGACTTAATTCTGTCTCATTTATTCCCCCAGTTTATAATAGAAGACATGAAGCAGCAGCAAACCAACAAGCACAGCAACCTGCACCATGAAGACCAGCACATCACAGTGGAGGAGCTGTGGAAGGGCTGGAAGACGTCTGAAGGTAAATTAAAGAAGTGCCTCTGCGTCCAGACAATCACACACGTCTTTACTGTGTGTAGAGGAGGGAGACGCACTCCTGTGGTGACAGAGGAGAATCATTTCATCCTGTTTGTTGAAATGATGACTTTATTCTACTAAATGTGTTTTTTTCTTAGACCATGAACATTTAGACATTCACTTGGTGCAATACTCACCAACATAAATCATTTTACAACCTTTATAAACCCACAAAGTGCTCCGCAGCAAAGCAGCAACACAAAATGGTGTAAAATATAAGAAACAGAGTTTGGAGATCTTTTTTATCTTATTCTATTCTACAGCACTTTTGTTCAACAGTTTCAGTTCCAGCATTTCTAGCACCTCAAATTACTTCAGTCGTCTCTCAATTCTAGAGTTTAATTTGAGGCGTCAAGGCCAGAACGAGACTAAACAACGACTGAGGACATTTATCCAGAGTGAAGTGTGGCTTTTTATTTTCTCTGCAGATTATTATTATAAAATAAAAGTAGGAGCAATTCTTAATTTACAGTTCTTAACAGCGTATATTCGTAGTTAGTGGTATTGACTGTTTTACTGCTGTTGATAATAGACTTTCCCTCTAAGTGACTCAGTGTTTGTTAAGATAATATTGAATTTTATCTCTTCCGCCTCTTCTCCTATTTGAATTTCAAATTGGGACAAAATTTGAAAACAACTCCTCATTATAACACATCTGTGTTTTGACTTCAAACACCATCTGTCATTCTCAACCTGCGTGTGCACCAGTGTTTATTCACCACTCTGGAAGTTTGAGTGTTAAACATGAACTCATGTTCGCTCAGTATTTGAAATAAACACACACCACAGAAAATGAACATCCTATATTTGGTCTTGTCCTGAGGCTGAGAAACACGTCTCACCTCCACCTGTTTATTCTCATCCTTGATTATTCTGTGAATGTTAAATGCTTTAATGAAGTACTGACATCATCACCATGTCCCCCTCTGTCTCTCAGTCCACAACTGGACGATGGAGGACACGGTGCAGTGGCTGAAGGAGTCGGTGGAGCTGCCGCAGTATGAGAAGAACTTCCGGGACTTCCGGGTCTCGGGGAACACCTTACCTCGGTGAGTACAGCTCGTCTGAAACACAGCGACACAACCTGCGCAGAACATTTTAAAAATACATTTTAAAATAAAACGTTCTAAACCTTAAAGGCCAATATTAAAAATGCTTCATGCAAATAATTATCCTCAAATGAAGATGCTCTGGGGAAGAGTGATTATGATCAGTGGTAATATTCTGATCGTTGTTGGTTCAATGCTGCCCACTGCTGGTGATAAGTGACAGCACAAGGGGAAAAAAGGCCTTTTCTGAAGCAGGTAGATTCTTCACTTTGGTGTTTTGAGGTGTATTAGAAACCGTGTCTGAGATGTTTTAGTGGAGCCAAGATCAGTTTACAATCTTGTTGTAAAGTCGTAACTCAATATATTCCCACAATTCCTTCGTGCGGCACCATGAAGATGAAATTGTTAACTTAAGTAATCTGAGAGTTGAAGTTACAGAAAGTCAGACGCTGCTGGGACACTTGTGGAATGTGACTCGCCGCAAACTGCATGTACGGCATGAGTAGAGCGGAGGGGTTTCGTATTCCGCCACAGGGCCGGTGGGCGCTGACTCATGAAGTGATGTCACAGCAGAGGGGTACAGTTTCTACTGGCTGCCATGTTGTCTCAGCTGTACAAGATGGTGGTGGCATGCAGACACCGGCCTTGTGACAGCGGTGTCACAGGGTCGAACCAGGCAGAGTGCACGTTGTGTGTCTGTGTGTGCGTCTTTCCCGCAGACACACAATCACGTGTGTAGTTCTAAGTGGGACTTGAGTGATATGAGGCTCTTAAGACCAGTACTGATATTTTTAGCTGGAAAAATTCAATCATTCATCCTGTTTCCTTATTATTGAATTTCTGTCAGTTGTGACGTTTGTGGAGCAGCGTGCAAATTGTCACGATGTTCTCAGGGGGATATTTTCAGGACCTCTTTAATCACTAAACTGATAAATGTGTCGTAAACAAACAACAAGGAAAATATAGTTCATTGTTAAGTTCCAGCTCAGACAACATAAACAGGCTGAGATGTGTTTAGTAGCTGCAGCGTTACAGCTGCTTATTTACTGCCTGAATATTTATTTAAGGGATTAGATCCAGTGAAGCAGCTGGTAATATTTATTATGTATGTTATGACTCATACGTTGTATTTACAGTAAAAAAAAACGTCAATTCAGTTTCCACAACAGGTCTTTATTTATAAAGTTACAGTCCTAGTTTCTAAAGCGCTTGTATACTACATCATGTTAACAACTTTCTTTTGAAAATCACACGAATTGCAGCTGTGCTTATTCACATCTGGAGTTAACATAAATAAAATATCCACGCAGAATTGCAGTTGTGCAAAATGTTGTGCCAATAATGGAAATTCGCATTTGGCCTCATAAATCTGTAACTGTAAAAGTCCAGGTACTTTGATCCCACATTATACTTATTGTCCAATAAAATGTGATCTATCGGTCCCCCCACAACTTGGAGGACATCCCTTTATACACTATTAATGTTTTAACACTGGCCCTAATGCACAGTATATAATGTCATTATATAGAAGTTAAATAACAAGAACAAGCTCCTCTGCTTTTCACTGTTCTCTCTTTACCTTGTACATGCAGCAGTAGAAAACAAGGATTTGTTCTCTTGTTGGTTATATAACATTTTAAATGTCCGACAGTCAGAACTGTAATTTTGCACACAGACAGTGATAACGTCTCAGTGTAGAGAAGTAAATCCAGTGAAACTAAATGCTCAGTATTCAGTGCTGATTCGTGTTTTCTCTTCATATTTCAGAATAGCAGCAAATGAACCGTCGTTTATGTCGATGCAGCTGAAGATATTAGACCAGCGGCATAAACAAAAACTAAACCTGAAGGCACTGGACGCAGTGCTGTTTGGTCCTCCGCTCCGTAAGTACACACATTATTATACAACCATCGCTACTCATTAAATCCAAACCCCAGCTTCAGAAAAGTGTTTATTCTGTAACCAAGTCTTCCTTCTCTTCAGGTCCACAACACAACTGGATGAAAGACTTCATCCTGATGGTTTCCATAGTGATCGGTGTTGGGGGCTGCTGGTTTGCCTACGTGCAAAACAAGTCCAGCAAAGTGCACATCTCTCAGATGATGAAGGATCTGGACAGCCTGCAGCACGCTGAGCAAAGCCTCTTAGACCTGCAGAGCCGGTACGTGGAAACGCAGAGTCATCTTCACCTTCAACTCTCTTGGGCAAAACAGGAAGTAGAAATTGTTTAAACGTATTTCTGTTTCCTCTTAGACTGGAAAAAGCTCAGGAAGAGAACCGCACGGTGGCGGTGGAGAAGCAGAACCTCGAGCAGAAAATGAGGGATGAGATTAACGGGGCCAAAAAGGAGGCTCACAGGCTCCGAGAGCTGCGAGAGGGAGCCGAGTGTGAGCTGAGCCGCCTCAAATACGCTGAGGAGGAGCTCGTACAGGTACTGACCCTCACCCACAGATTAATTACTATTCAAATGCACAGAGACGTTTATATTCTACTGAAGTAGCCAGTACTAACATCATTACTGTTAATATATTCATCAGTGATCTTCAGACACTGATTTCAGATTTTTTCATGTAAATTTTTATTTCTTTCACAAAATAGATTATTGGACATTCACAAGACTTTAGATTCACAGAGTTACTAATCCCTCTCTGTTGCTGTTTATGATTAATAATCTCATGGGAAAAGGTTTTTAAATATTCAACACAGAACTTGACTCAAACCTCTGCACCCCGACGTGCTCTGTGTTCCCCCCTGAAGGTGCGGAAGGCCCTGAAGAGAGCGGAGAAGGAGATGCAGTCTGAACGCTCGGTGCCAGAAGCTCTTCAGAAGTGGCTGCAGCTCACGCACGAGGTGGAGGTTCAATACTACAACATCAAGAAACAGAACGCAGAGTTCCAGCTGTGCGTCGCCAAAGACGAGGTAACTTTGTCTTTTGAGTTAGGACTGAAAACATGTGACGTGTGGAGCAGCAGCACTAAGCCACCGTGCCCATGATGTGTTAGGGTCAATTTAATACATCACATGTTGTGAGGAGAGTACTAACAGTATTTAAACTGCGTACATTTGACATGTATCTCGCTCATATTGAAGCACTGATTAGTTTCTGTTTTAGTAAATGTCAGTGTCACGTTTTCTTACTTTGAATTTAACTTCCAGACACACAGCTCCTCTACTAGATACTTTATTTATTAAAATATGTGCAACAAGTTAATTAAGTAAGTAATTTTACAGTATATACAACAGAGGATATCTCACTTTAAACTGTGTGTTAAAGGTGGAATGTGTTGACTGGCAGGAGACGACCGGATGCAAACCTGCCCCAACATTCACCTCTAACCACATGATACAGGATGTGAAGCTGTGATTGGCTCAAATCCATCATGAAATATCAATTTGCTCTCGTGTCAACATCCATTTGTTTTAATTCATGTCGTATAAAATCGGTGTGTTGTCTGGCAGCTCTGTGGCCGTGGGAGTAATATTATAAAATATCACTCACATTACCACTAGTGGGATATTTTGGCCGGTGAACTGATGACTTGGGTGAATGGCAGGAAGTGGCAGCACTCCAGGAAGTCAAATTTAAAGTGACCATTACTACAAAATAAAAGCCACAGGATTTAATTACAACTGCGCACAGGGATAATAAAGTTTTATTCTGGTACTTATCTCTGTAGTGAACTGTAATAAGATCTCAACCAATTAACTTAATAGTTATTTAATAGTCAATTGTCTTTTTATGATATTGTTTGATGTTTTCTTTCAAGGGGTTTCCCTGCTCATATAGAGATTTTGTTTAAACTTACAAACCAACGTACTCTCTGTGTAGAAACAATGAAGATTGATGCAAACTAACATCTACATTTTTTCATCAATTTCAGGCAGAGAAAATCAAAAAGAAGAGAAGTTCTGTGTTTGGAACTCTTCACGTAGCCCACAGTTCATCACTGGATGAGGTGGACCACAAGATACTAGAGGCAAAGTAAGAACTCGAACTCTGACACGCACACAATTGATGCGACTCAACAGTAGCTACGAGTACACGTTAAATTAGATTAGGTGCATACCTCCATCGAGGTTCAGTCGTCTTGAATTCAATCCAGTCTTCTGTCCTCGTCACATCCTTCCAGCAGGAATCAGCTCAGTAGTTTTTTGTGTCATCCTGCAGAAAAACAAATAAACAAGCAGGTGTAAATATGTGTGTGTGCAATAACATACTGTTTATGTGACTAGAGGTGGGGGATATTATAAGAACATATAATTGTCATTAAAAACCAGATCATGTGATAGAAGCGTTAAGTTCAATTAAGTTCTCAACATCGTTAAAGTTTTATATTCAATGTAATTAATTAATCAAACCTCTATAATCCCTGTTCTGCCACTGACAAGAACAACTCCTTTGTGTTTGAATCCAAAAAAGATGAAAGTTAAATCTTCTGTGCTAGAACAGCATCAAACCAGCTCAGGCCCCAAAACTGACGAATCAAAGCACAGGCGGCCTCAAGGATTTCAATCACCATCAGAAATGAGATCACACACACAGTCACTGTATCGTGCTGCCATCTCATTCATCTGCGTTCCTCAGGAAAGCCCTGTCGGAGGTGACGGCGTGCCTGAGGGAGCGGCTGCACCGCTGGCAGCAGATCGAGAAGCTCTGCGGCTTCCCTGTCGTCAGTAACTCGGGGCTGCCGAACCTGACGGCCAGCCTCTACTCAGACCACAGCTGGGTGGTCATGCCGCGAGTTTCGGTGCCTCCCTACCCCATCGCGGGAGGAGTGGATGACCTGGACGAGGATACGCCCCCCATCCTTCCGCAGTTTACGAGTAAGTTAGAGAGTTTTGACGTAGAAATTTTAACTGTGTGTTTTTTTTCTCTTGGTGTTTTAAATTCACCGTTTATATCTTTTCTCCAGCAACTACGTTGATCCGGCCTTCACTGACACGCAACAGCAGCCTGTGTCGCTCCCGCCGTAGCCTGATGAGCTCCCCCCAGTCCTCGCTGATGTCGCCGGACCCTGACCTGCTGTCCATGGCCAGCTCGTCCCTCTCCTATCACCCCGAGGCCGACGACGAACATATCATGTTCAGCTCGGATAGGAGGGGGTATGTAGCGGTGGCCGGAACGCCGCGGAATGGTTTTAAAGTTTGGACTTACAGGTGTTTTATCCAGACATTCACGCTGATGCTATGAGCTTGGGGTTGAATGGTAACTTGTCTCTCTGGGTGTCACTTAGACCGTGGAGGATGCATGAATCACCTCCAACACAATCTGCACATTACACAACACAACCAGTGAATGTCTGACACTGTTAGTCAGCAGGATCTTTAACTCCTGGTTTTTACACTAAACCCCGAGAAAACTCAAAACGTGGCCACAGTCATGTAGCAATGATGAGTATTGGCTCAGTAACTTAATCCAAAGAAAAACACAACCTGTAGAAACACGTTTGAGGAGTTAAACAACTGCCAGGACAAAATATGTCAACAGAAGACTTATACTCACAACACTAACGTCTGCCACAAACATTTCCTCCTTTTTCAATCTCCTGTTAAAATTGTTTCTTTTTGCGAGTCTCTACAAGTTGTGACGATGTCGTGTCCGCTCTCCTCTCTCAGGGAACAGGCTCAGGAGGGCAGCTCCGACACAGACTCCCTCAACTCGTCCATGGGCCGGAAGCAGCCGCACAACCCCTGCACGTCCGGATCGGAGACCCCATACCGCAAGATCTCCCGCGAGGAGCTGCTGCTGTACAGCCAAAGTCCAGAGCTCCCAGCATGCACCACCCACACCAGCAGCAGCAGCAGCAGCAGCAGTCTCAGGGACTCCACGCCACCCCCTCTTCCCCAGACCTCGGCCACCACCCCCTCAGGGCCGCCGTCCACCTCACCCTCCCCGGCCTTGGAGCACCACCCGTTTGCACACAGAGGCTCGCCCGACCTCACCCACATCCTGCCCGAGTCTCAGAGCGTAACCTTCACGCAGGGGAGCATCACCTCGCCCACGGGAAAGGGCGTGTACAACGGCATCCTGGAGAAGTCCTACAGCTACGGGCAGCTGCCTGCGAGCATGCTGCCCAACGTGGGGCGCTACCCATCTCTGACCTCCCTGGACTCGGAGGGCCGGAGCATGGGGAGGGAGCACAAGCTCCAGAGCACCTCCTCCCAGGACTCCAGCGACAATGGAGAGAGAATCAAGCGCTCCTCATCTAAAATCAAAAGCCTATTTAAGAAGAAAAAATAAAACTGAATGAGTGAAAGAGAGAAATAAGATAAGTTGTTTTAGCCTGAATACTAATAAAAAGGACATCACTATAAGCTAAAACATTTAATTTTCTCTCCTAAGTTATTTTGTTATCAAAGATGGAATGTAGCTCAGGCTGGACGCCTTCAAACACTCCAGACTGGTCGCCTTATTTTTCAATAACGCCTTTTTATTTAGTTCACTCAGCCTCACAGGGAAACCTGCTAAGGTCACGGAAAGGTCAATCAGACGACGCGCACGACCTGTTCGCTGTCTTCTCTTAATGTTACTTTGCTTTTGAACCAAAAAAGCCACTCTGAGTAACGGTATCGTATAAAACGTAGTTTCACTGTTGATGTCTTGTAGAGAAACATATCTGCTGTTTAAATCTCACTTTGAATAGCGACAGCAACACGTGAATAACACCCAGAAAAAAGGTCAGATCGTAAAATCTGGAATAATGTTTAGTCCTTTCTCCAATGTCCTAATTTAACGATGGAGTATTACGGCCACTTAAAGGGGATAACGAGAAAAAAGTCAATTTTAGACTGTGTTTTTTTAAACATGGTCCTCAGAGGACCAGTCTGTCACCTGCGTTAAAATGAGGAACATCTTGTTAAATTAAACTTTGCCGTACGTTTCATAAATAACAAAAGAATTCATCTCAACTTACCAGGAAAACTTGGTCGAACAAAGTTCTCGGTTAATACTTTGATCTATTCAAAGGGAAATTGTAGTTTCCCGAGAAACAGAAATTATAACATTTTATATATTGCTTTTATCTCTAATGCTTATTTTCTTTAACATGGCCCTAATACTCAGTCGTACTAACCCACCCCCCTGTTCAAATTATGAATTGCATCTTAAAAAGTGTTCAAGTGCTAAACTCCGTACTTGATGAATTTTCCTTTTAAAAAGAAAATCCTGCTAAAAAGTTTATTGCACTACAGCTTTCCTGGTATTTTGGGAAAGAGCCACTGCTGGCGGAGTACATATTGAATAAAGTTACAGAGATGAGAGGAACACATGGGCGGCGGCAGTGAAAATGCAGCTTGTAATGCCAGAGCCACAATTATCTGATGCAACTTCAATGTCACCGTCCATTATCCTCTTAAATATATTAAAAAATCTCTCTCTCTCTCTATATATACGTATACTTTGTTTTCGCATTACTAGGTTTAGATTGGTGGGGGTCCCTATGAACTGAAGAAGGTTGAACGAATATGCAGATTTAACTCGCACCAGTCCTGTTCCCTGTAATCTAGCTCTCCCTCATTACTTGACAAACTGCATTCTGTAGCCAAACAACAGACCATTTCCATGTTTTGTCTTTAATCTCTTCAAATCTAAACGCTTGATGTCGCGACCAGATGTTTGTGTGCGATTCATTCTGTTCGAGTGCCATAGTCGTGTCGTGTTTGAGGGAGGGAGGTGAGACGATGTAATATTTAAAAAATAGTTTGTGTAATTGACACTGTCTCGACTGTGATGATGTGGCCTCTGCCATGTGTTTGCAGGCTTTTTAAGGACAAACACTAAAGGATTATCTGTTCAAGCAAAAGGACGTTTTTTTTCATCCACATCTGATCGAAACATCGAGGCTTGCCCCTAAACCCCGCCCCCCTCCCACTAAGCTCGAAGCCGACCCACGCAATATGGCCCCGCTCCTCACCTCTGGGCCCGCACCGAGCGCACTGATGTCAACACGTCCAGCTTCACACTGTGATTTCTGCCTTCCTCCCTTCATCCCGGACCGGGTCACATGACGGACGCCGGCAGAGACCGTGACGAAAGGTCGGTAATGGGGGGTAATGCCGTGCATGAGGCGTGTCTGGGAGACGAGGATCCGGTGGCCTCTGTTTTTAAGAAGAAGAAAAAACATATATTAAGAAGGTCGTGGACAACGCAGCACACAATGAAGGACACAAAAGACAGAGCCGAAAGACGAGGGGCAAACGAATGTTTACGAGACAATAGGGGCTTTTTTTGAGAACATTTTGTGTGTGAATATTTGTATACAGTAGAAAAATTAATAAAAAATGGAGGCATTGGAGAAGTTTTCCGCTTTTGATATTTTGCTTCTAAATCCCGTTCATTGTGATTGTTACTGAGGACGTGGACACAAAGCGTTTTTTAAACATGGACATTTGCGTACTTTTTTTCCCCCTGCATGGAACCAATCGACCAAAATCTTTAAATTATCAGGATCATCATACTTTATGGCCAAAAATTGGTTTGTCATGTTGCATCATGGGAAATCTAGGATCCTGTGTCTTTTAGACATGATCCGTTCCAAAAACATCTGCTGCTGAGATTGCTTGAAAACTCAGTTTTTGGATTTTGATTTAATTCATATTTTAAAGTAAAAATCCCAGAAAACTCAATATCTTCGGACTCGAAACTGGTGGAATTTTTCACTTACATCTTAAAGTTTAACGTGATTAACAAATTAATATTTGCATTTCAGGTCTTACTTGTTTTCCCCCTGCAAACAGCCAGGTCCTTTGAGCAGTGTGTGTGGGAACAGATCGTCCTGACACAGCATCTGTCCTGAGAGTGTGGAAACCAGGACACAGAAGAAAAGCATGCATGATTGCTTTGGCAATATAATGTGCACGTGACGAAACTTGTGGAGATGCTTCACAAGGAGACGAGCTGGTGATGGATGAACTGTTGGGCACAGAGACAAATTCCACCCTCACACCATCCTCACTGATGCTTCATGGATGCAGTAGCAGTGACGGCCACAAGGGTTCAGCAGAGCATCACGGGAGACCAACAGCTGCCTGACCGGAAAACCTTCAGCGTCACTGTAAGTTTGATCACACTCGTGTTTTAGTTTCTACTTCTATCAATGATTGTGTCTGAAACCAGGCTCAGGTTCAGAGTAACAGTTTCTCTCATTGTCTTAAAATACTGTGACAAATTTAGAGATCGATATAATTTACTGTAATTATAATATCTGAAATGTTGATGTTTTAATATATTATGAATTTATGGTATCAC